TCTAGAGATCCTGTCTGTCCTGTGATGTAGCCAGTGCTGTGCCTGCCACGACCTACCCTCAGAGTCCTATGTCTGGAGAAGCCTGGATCAGCAGGATGCTGGCATCTCAGGGGACACTGGCAGGAACGTGATTGTGAGGCTGTCCCGGAATGCTGGTGGAGCCCATGGGTCCTCTCATTTGGGCCCAAGCTGAGCACCCTCTTTCTCCCAATTCCTGGGACGCTGTTGGGCAGTGCATAGATCTTTGCAGAGACCCTCTGCTCTCCTAGGCCACCAGGCTTGGGGAGGGGGCTTGAAGCTGATCATCACATTCAGCTCTGCTTCTTGCTTTCCCAGCTGATGAGCCACTCTCAGGGTGTCCTTATCAAGCCATCAAGCATGCATTGTTGCAATCAAGAGAGAGATCAGCTTTATGACTACATGATATTGGAGGCAAAGAATTATAACAAAGGCTCTTATCTTGTAGTGAGCTGCGGAAACACGTCTAAGCAGGAGAGGTAATAACAGTGGTGACTTCTGCATCCCTACTGTGTGCCAGGCGGTGCGAATGGCTCTTCACATACCAAGACCTTTCACGGAATGAGCACAACACCCCTGTGAAGTGGGCGCGATCATTGTTACATGACAGAGAAAACACAGAGGCCCGGAGAGGGCCGGCACTTTGCCCAAGGTCCCACAGCATGTTTGTGGCAGGGCCCAGACTCAGACTCAGGCCAGGGGACCCTGTCACTGGGGTTCAGCATCTCTCTCTGCACTGGGGGTATGTCCTGTCCCGGAATGAGCACACAACCTTGATTAAGCTAATAGCTGATTTGGCTTTGATCTGATGTATTTTGATCATATTATTTTTATGTTAGGAGCCTCTAAATAACCATCATTTCAACAGTGCCCCAATTAGCAGGCCATTCACAACGGATTGGAAATTGACTTGCATCGGGCCTCTCCATTAGTGCCTGGGAGAAGCTTCCAGCCTTAATTATCCACCCAGTTTCCGAGGCTGGCAGCTTGAGGAGTTTGCATGATGCTGCAGGTGGCTGTACGAGAGGTGGGGCAGTGGTGCCCACCTCTACGGCGAGGGCTGTCAGCAGCAGGAGTGAGGGCGCTCTCTGTCTTAACTACTGTTTCTTGGGATCCTGGGCATGACTTGATTGGGGACGTTGATGGGGGAGATGGGGATGCCCAAGAAGAGTGGCAGGAAACTGGCTTCTATTTAACCTCTTTCCTGTACACAGCAAGGGTTGGCACTTGCTGTCCATGTCCTAAGTCCATGTTCCCCTAGCTCTGCTGGGTAGAGATTCTTATCCTCATTTAGAAAATGGAGGCTCACAAAGGACCCATGGGCTCCGTCAGCATTCCGGGACAGTCTCACAATCACAATCCTGCCAGTGTTCCCTGAAATGCCAGCATCCTGCTGATCCAGGCTTCTCCAGACCTGGGACTCTCAGGGTAGGACGTGCCAGGCACAGCACCGGCCACGTCATAGGACAGATGGGATCACTGGAGCTCTCACCCCATGTGACTGGAGGAGCCCAAACCAGAACCTTGGTTAGTGAGATTCTAGGGCTTCTTCTGCTGCCCTGGTGAGCCCAGGCCCAGCCAAGAAGTTGGTGTCCCTGGCTACCAGCAGGACTGGGGCAAAGTGACCAGTCAGGCAATTGTTCCCTGAGCATGCTCTTGCTGCCTGGCCCCTGTGTCTTTGTCATGCTGCATCCCTCTGTCATGCTGTTTTCCTTCATCTCAGCTGGTTTAAATCCTCTTTCTCTGAGACCCTGAGGTCACCCTTCTCTGGGTCCCAAGGAGCTTCATCTCTCCTTCCCCACAGGCTGAATCATGGGGTCTGTCTTCTTGGTGGATCCAAGCTTCTCAGAATTGGGGCTGGTGCCCTTTGCTCCCCCAGTGCTCAGTGCAGGGGTTTGCACACAGTAGGGGGCGCTGAGTATATGTATGAAACACACAGAGGGGAAGGAAGCAGTCTGCAGTGACGGTGGGATGCCTGCCCAGATGGGGAAACTGAGGTTCAGAGAGGTTCAGTGACTTCAGAACCGGTGTATATGGAATGGGCACAGGGTTTGCCATCAGAAGTCAGGTGATGACCTGGGAGGGAGTTGGATGGGGTGGGCAGTGGAGGGCCGGGAGTGAGTGATGGCAGCCAGGAGCACTCTTGTGGGTGTCCTGGGCTGGGTGTCTGGACAGCTTTCCATCCTTGTGATATCCAGTTTATTTTGTATGATTACTTCTTAGAGTTAGAAATTCAGTGTATTGGCATTGAAGAAAGTATGTACCAGAGAATAAAGAGAAATCCATTCAGCATCACCACACCTTGTTCTTTTCTTGCCTTTTGGTGTTTTCTCCTGCCTTTTCCATAAGCAAGCTTTTTATCTAGTTACAGTTCTGGGGTGTGTATAATTTCGTGCCCTGCTGTTGTCACTTAGCTGCCTCTCAGAAGTGTTTTTTAGATTGGATGGCATTTCAGTTCAGCACTGTCTCTTATTGGTTGTGTGGCCTCACAACTTGTTATCTGGAAAATGGACACAATGACACATACATAAAGTACTCAACACACACACACACACACACACACACACACACACACGTATTCAACAGTATTTGGCACAGGGAAAATTCTCAGAAAATAGTCCCTCCTCCTATATAGCTTCACAACTTACCCATTATTGGAAGATTATTTTTCTTTTCTAAAAGAGTGATCTGTTCATGACTCGAAATTTTGGCAAAATATGGAAAAGAAGGAAAATCAGTTCAGGCCTCTTGTAAAAAAATGTACTTTTAGCATTTTGCAATATTTTCTTCTGGTCTTTCATGTGTGTTGAGTTTTATTTAATCGATGTAATAAAAGACATACAATTTTGTATTATTTTCATGACAAGCACTTTCCCATGTTACCTTAGTATCTTCATCAATAATTTTAAAGGCTACATATGCTTTCAACAAATGGAGTGTTTTTCATAACCATTCATCTATCTGCATCTTTTAGATTGTGAGCAATATTTCAACAGCATGGATAAGTATCCTATGAATGTTTTGGGATCCAGAGCCACTCCCATAATTTTGATAGGTGCCTAAAGTGGAATTATTGACCAGAGGGCATGAAAATATCCAGGCTTACTGCATTCTTGCACCAGTCTTTGCCGACTGCCATGTGCTGGACACGGTGTGTGTCTAGGGAAGGATGATGAACAGAACAGGCACATCACATGGCTCCCTGGAGTGTGTGGTCCTAGGAGAGACAGAGAATTACACAAGCCATGCATCATGCCCTGATAGGGAAAGTGTGGGTGTAGGGGGAGCTCAAGACAGGGGGTTGCTGGCCAGTCTGGGGATATAGAGTCTGAGTCTTGAGTATTCACTCAAGTTGAAAGTTGCAAGAGGGAACAGAAAATATGGAGGGTTCCAGGGGCTCAAATGGGGCTGGTTGGCCTGGGCATAGTGGGCAGGGGCATGTGAAGAGCAGGAAGATACAGGCATTGGGAAGCCTACAAGACTCTGTCCCCAAAGCTCTTGGGAGCCACTGAAGGCCTTAACAGGAGCATGACGCAATTGGATTTTTGTTTGGGAGAGAACTGCCATGTGAAGCTTGCATGGGAGTTGGTCAGAGCATTTGGATGGCTGTGTGACTCCCAAGAGACATCAGAGGATCTCATTGCACCATCCCTGCCCCTGCCCCTGCATTATGTATGGGGGTTGAGGGTCCAGCAGGGAGCACTGCGGGCATTTGAGTCACTGTCCTGCTGATGCTCGTGAATGTGCCCAGTGAGCGCCCTTGCGTGGGGAGCAGCCGGCCTTTGGGGTTTGGAGGTGTGGAGGGCCTCCCTCCTCCCTCACCTTCCCAGGCCCCCACTGCCTTCTCCTTGGGGTTGTTTCCTCTGCTCCTGGTCTCCTCTCAGCCTTGTCTGAGACGTTTACATAAACCCAAAGGCTCTCAACCGAAAGAACTGCATTGTCAAAGTTGCTCAAAAGTCTGCTGTCTGCGGCAGATGGCCTGCTGACATTCCCAGGCTGTGTTTTGAAGCTGCATCTGCTCTCCCACATCCCTCCATCACATAAGCATTATTAATAAATGTTTGCTTCAAAACCAGAGCAGTGGGTTGCAGTGTTGGGCGGTGCATGTTTCCATTAATTGGTCTGATGTCCCCCAAAGACGTAAGTCTGTGACTAAAAGGGGCACCCCTCACGGATACCGGATGACTTCAAAAGATGGGCCGCGAGGGCCTCAGCCCAAGTACAGGCTGCTGGTGGCTCCCTCCCTCCCTCTCCTCCTCCACCTAGCTGCCATGCATCTTCCTTTGTTATTATCAACTGGCTTTTGAATAATCTTGGGCTTCTGGAACTGACTGCTTCATCTGGGGTTTGACCCAGTATTTTATGATATAAATTAAGTGGACTTGGCCAGAAGACCTAGGAGTGCTGTCTTTTTTTTTTTTTTTTTTTTGCCTGAAACCTGAGTCCTCTGGGGTAAGTGTCTCCCTGACTTTCTGATGTAATCTATTCCCTTCAGCCTCAATCAGTTCAGTCTAGCCAACAATCATAGCGCACACAGTATATTCATGGCTTATGTCTTGGCCTTGGAGACACACAGATCCACAAAATGACTTCTTGGCTCTTAAAAGGCTCACATCCCAGGTGGGAAACAGGATGGCTAATTTAGCAACCCTGATGGGTGTTTCAAGCAGATGTGCATTGGATTCTCGTCCTACAATCCCTCTTTGAGTAACCTTTGAGCAAATGATTTTGCCTCACCCAGCCTCCATTTCCTCATCTGCTGAATGGGTGTAAGAACATCTGGGTGGCAGGATCCCTGAAAGCCTCAGTGGGACTCTGCATGTGAGAGCTCCTGGCCTGGCCTGGGGTAGTTCTGTCTCTGGAGGCAGGCAGCATTTCTTGGGGCCCCGGGCATGAGCTGCTAGGCATGGGCCATGTGGATCGAAGCCAGTGCAGCATTGTCCCCGTGCTGACCCATCCCTCTCTCTTCCCTCTCTTTCTAGCCTGTGACCTCATGACCCAGGGGATTTTGGCCTTGGTCACGTCCACTGGCTGTGCGTCTGCCAACGCCCTGCAGTCACTCACAGATGCGATGCATATCCCACACCTCTTTGTCCAGCGCAACCCAGGGGGGTCTCCGCGCACTGCCTGCCACCTGAACCCCAGCCCTGACGGTGAGGCCTACACGCTGGCCTCCAGACCGCCCGTGCGCCTCAATGACGTCATGCTCAGGCTGGTGACAGAGCTGCGCTGGCAGAAGTTTGTCATGTTCTACGACAGCGAGTATGGTGAGTTGGGGGCAGGGGTTACTCTGTGGCTCCTGGGAGGCACGTTGGGCATTGGGAGACCCATGAGCCAGGCCATTGGCTGGTGGCTGAGTGCTTCAGAGTGGGCTGGGTGCACATGGTGGTTGGGGGTCTGAGCGGTATGGGTCTCGGGGTGCTAGGGCCTAACCTTGAGCTTTGCCAGTGGGGGAAGAGCTGCAAAAACAGATCTGTAGACAAGCACGAATGTTGCCTAGCAACGACACCTTATCATGACAGCTGAAGTTTGAATCATCTTAGAGTTTTCAATAAAATATTAATAAACTGCTGGCAGGGATCCGAAGGGCTGCATGTAGGTAGAGGCGGAGGCCAGCCAGCACGGTCCTCCCAGAAGACTCCTCTTCAAAGACTGTCCTTCACACTGGACAGTCACCTGGCCCTCCCAGCCCCTTGCCTCCCTCTACCATGGTCTGCCCTTAGTTTCAGAGTCACAGGCTGGGGCATAGGTCAGGAGAGGGGCACCCTAAATGTCATGGGGCCAGGTAAGGTCATGTGGATGTCGCTGAATGTGGCTTTTTTGTAGACCTCCCATATGAAAAAAAAAATCATACTTTGTTAAAAATGCACAAAAATGGGCTTTGGAGAAATAGTTTTAGGTTTTCTTATGGCTGCTCTGTGAAAACAGGCCAGTCCTACTCCCAAGATGAAACGGTTTCTGCATTATGTGTTTTTTTTAAAAAAAGACTTAATTTTGAGATAACTGAGATTCACATGCAATTATGAGAAATAATACAGAGAGATCCCATGCACCCTTCACCCAGTTTCCCCATGGGCAACATGTTGCATAACTCATATCATATCATAAGCAGCATTTGATATTGATGCAATCCAGAGACCTTTTTCATCCTTCTCCAGTTTATAGGCACTTGGGTGTCTGTATTCACTTCTATGCCATTTTATCACCACTAGGTGACCACTAGGGTCAGGACATAGAGTAGTTCCCTCACAGGGATCCCTGTGTCACCCTTTTATAGCTGCTGCCACTCATATTGCATGTCTTTAAAGGGTCTGGGGACTGGTAAGGGTCAGCAGTCCCATCGCTGGGGCCAGGTTGGAATGAATAGGCCCTCGAAAGTCCTGATTTGTCTCTTGGTGAAATAATTCCTTTGCCAAGAATGTAACTAAGAAGAGAAACCAGCATATGTTTGCATTTGCCTAAATACTCTGCTTCTCTAAGACTGGAATGTTGTCCCCAGCTCTTGAGCAAATATGCTGTTTAGAGTCTTCCAGGAGGAATTAGAAGAGCAAACAGTCACTGTGCTGAAGTGAAATGAGGTGGTGATGGAGACAAGGGTGACTCAAGGCTTCAAGCACTTGAACTAGACTGTGTCCAAGGCCTGACCTCTCCCTCCCACCTGCATTCAATCTCTGGCCCTGGGTGGTGGTGGTGGAGGGCATTGGAGGTCATGGCATAGCCCCCCCGGAGCCCACAGGGTGTCTCTCAGAGGCTCAGCCTTCCCTGAGAATGCTTCATACTGATGTTTCAACCCAGGCATCCAGTTTGCTCTGAGGCTGGGCTGTTGGGAGGTGTGGACACCGCCAGGGCTGGAGGATGCTGTGGGGTAGGGTCTGCAAGCCCCCTAGCCCCCCTTATTCCAACATCTTTGTTCCCTTTGTGCTGTAGCCTACAGGAACTTTTCAAGCCTTGGTTTTCCCCAAGGCCTGGGAGGTGGGAACTTCCAAAGAAAGGGGCCCTGATCCCTACCTGTCTGAAGGCTCCTCTCTTTCCTATGGAGCTGGCTCGTTGGTTACATCTGTGAGGTACACATCTCACTCTCTTGGCCTGCTATTAGCTTGTCCTGACAAACTATTGAGGGTTAATTGTTGATGGACACTGACTCTCACACCAGGCTGTAAGCTCCGGGGGAGCAGGCCAGGTGCTATTCACTACTGTGTCCCTGCTGCTTAGTACCATGCCTGGCACAGAGTTGGCCCCAAGAAATTATCAGTGTGTAAATGAAGCATCTAATTTATGAGGACATGGATATTTCAAGCAATTTTCACAGAAGACAAAGGAAAAAATGGGAAGAAAGACAAGGCACCGGGTAGTCTGACCTCTGAAGTGGAGGAGGTGGGCTAGGATATTTCATTCTGCAAACACACTTCCCTGCCCCTCACCTCTCCCCTCCTACCCAACACCTCCAATCAAGCCTAAAGATGTGCCTCTTTTTCTGACTTGGATACTTTTGCTACCTTTGGTGAGGTTTGAAGTTAGTTTTCAACCAGACTGGCCTTTGTCAGTGATTCCATGAAGACAGGGTAAACCAATAGCTTTCCTCTAATAGACCAGCAACTGGTTGAGCCTTGAATGCTGTATTGGGAAGGATTCAGAAGGATTCTGAGGCTGTATGTGGGCTCACCATAGAAAATGCCATGACTGCTCCATGAGGTTTGCATGGTGCAGGGGAGGGATTGGCGGCAACCTGCTATGTTTGCTGATTCTGATCTGGATGGTGGGGGTGAATGCGATGTCTCAGTGCTGCCATACATTTGATTGTCGCTGTCCTGGGTGCTGATCTGTTTGGCTTTAGGCGTTCTGGAGACCAAAGCTCTTTCACTGGATTCTGTGCAACACCTCCTACCTTTGTGGGCCCTGGACGTCGGTCCGCTGATTTGACAGCCTCTGAGGCCAGGTTTCTGCTCCAAAATATTCTCTGTAAACTGTAACCACTTTGACTTCCACTGCTTGTCCTGGCTGTGCTGCTCATGCAACAGTCTAGTCTCTGGTCTGTTTTGCAACCCATGTGCTGTTTGATGCGGTATCTCCAGCTCATGAGTGCAGGTTGTGAGTGCTTTCTCAGCATGGCTGGCATTGGCCTGTCTGAGAGTAGTAGGTGGGCTTACACTGCTGATATGCCCAAGACAAATGGTGCCTCCAGAGCTCTTTAGGTCCCCTCCTCCACCCCACCACTGCAGCACTAGCTGCAGATGAGCCCAATTAAAAAGCAAATTGAGTGTAAAGACTGTTTTATTCCTTCCAAAGTCAAACAGAAGTGGTTTGGGGATATGGCAACTTTTTTTTTAAATGCTGATCTGCAAGTATCTTTATGCATATTAAACGTATATTATATATATATATTTATGCCATTCAATAACTCTCTGAGGTGGGATTATTGTTGTGTTTTACAGATAAAGAACATGACGTCCAGAGAGGTTCTTTTTGACCTTAATGCCCACGCCCTTAGCCAAGGCACCATCCTATTTCTGTAATCTGGGGTTTGCTAGGCTCCAGCTTCCTTTTCCTGTCCCCAGCTGGGCAAGTTGATGCCAAGAAGGAAGGAAAAGTGATTTGGAATGGACTTGGCATTCCTAGGCTGGTGTGCTCAGGGCTTTAGTGAATGTCACACAGAAGCTCCCCCTGTTGCTTAAGGAGGCCTGATGCTTCCTCATTTGCCCCCTGGCCTCCCTTTAAGCCCAGGAATAACCTGCTCTGGGTGGAACCTTAGGACTGGGCATTTGAGTCAGGAGATGAGGGTCAAAGAAGCAAAATCACTGGGCCCTGAGACAGAACTTGGCAGAGGGGCAAGAAGAGGAGTGTGCATGTATATAGTTTACAAAATGTAAGATGTGCCATTTGGTAAAATTCCATTGAAAATACTTGTATGCTTGTTGTGACAGTGAAAGGAAAAATAGAAGAGAAGCTGACATTTGGGAGAGAAAATCTGTAACATTAAAATACCAAAAGTTTGGATCGAACAGAACAGAGAACTTTCTGATGTGCCACTTCAAATTCTGGGATATTCATTTGTGCGTGTGGGGAGGTGGGTGCTAGAAGCTGTAGCCACAATTTCCCCCTCAGGAATACATTTGGATGAGGGTGGTAGTTACGATGGAATCTTGGATGTCTTGACTCATTCATTCAACAAACATTCACCGTGTCCCTACCACGGACAATGATTTTGCTAAGAACTCTTCACAGATAAAGAAACAGAGGAAGTTGGCTAAAGCTACACAGGGCTGGGATGTGAAGTCGGGACACCAGAGCTCTTTTCTCTATAGCGTCTCCAGTGTGCAGTAGCTTGCTCTTGGCCCCTGGACCAGCCTGCAGGCTGGGGGTGGGTCAGGATCTGCGTGAGTGGCCACTGTCTATTTGTGCTCTTATGTATTTATGTATGTATATACATACATAAAGGTTATTTATTTATTTTGAGAGAGAGAGAGAGCAAGCGAGTGAGCACGTGCAAGTATGATCCGGGAAGGGGCAGAGAAAGAGAGAGGAAAGAGAGAATCTCAAGCAGGTTCTGTGCTGTCAGCTCAGAGCCCAACACGGGGCTCGATCTCACAGACTACGATATCATGAACTGAACCGAAATCAAGAGTCAGACACTCAACCGACTGAGCCGCCCAGGCACCCCTTGTGCTAGTTTTTAAATTATTAAAAACAACTAAAAGTCACACATGGTAACAATGTATATGCCAAGTTACAAGAATGATAATAAATAAACTCCCATGAATCCATACCAGTTTAAAAAATGTAAAGGAACCATGTGCGTCCCTTTCCTATCATGTCCTCCTTTACTGAGGGGACATAACCACTAACCTGATAGTGTGCTAGCCAGTTCCCTGCTTTTCTTGATAGTTTATCATACAGGTATGGATCCTGAAATGCATATTGCTTAGGTTTGGCCTGTTTGTGAACTTTAAATATATGAAATAGCACTTCTATACACTTTTGTGACTGCCTTTTTCACTCAAAATTAGGTTTTTGAGGGCCATTCATCCAATTCAGGTGTATTCAGTCATTTTCTATGGTTGCATAGTATCATCTGATTTATTATCCATTTTATTGTTATGGGCATTTGAGTTATTTCCAGGTTTTTGCTATTACATATAATGCTAATTAGAACATTCTTATACTTTTGATGTTTGTGCAAGAGGCTTTTTTTTTTTACTTATTCACATTTTAATTTATTTCTTAAAGTTTAAAGTTTTAAATATTCTCAATATTTCTTTTTTTTAAAGTT